AAAATAAAATAAAATAAAATAAAATACAATCATAGAATGTTAACAAAATAAAAGCATCTTTCTTTGAGGATCACATCAGTTCCAGTGAACGTTTTCAGTCTTCTCTTTTCTCTCAATCCAATTATTTTTTCTTCGTGTATTTGTTATGTTGTTAAGTTTTGTTAAATCTCATTCTTTCTCTCCATATGACAAAACATATTACAGGTGGTCCTTGTTTAATGACCACTCATTCAGCAATCACTTAAACTTACGATGGTGCTGAACAAGTGGTAGTTATGACTGGTCCTTGTACTTACATCAGTCGCAATGTCCCCATGGTCGCATGATCGCCATTTGTGATGTTCTTTGCTGGCTTCCTATAAGCAAAGTCAATGGGGAAGGTGGCAGGAAGTCACAAATGGCAAATGGGGATTCGCTTAACAATGACAACTGGAAACACCAGAATTTCTGTCACTAAACATCACAGTCATGTGACATTGCACTTTACAACCGCATTGCTTAGCAACAGAAATTCTCGTCCCAGTTGCTGACATTAACCAAGAACTACCTATATGTCGATATCAACATATCAATCAATTTTGTATTCAGTCCACACTCATTCAGCACCATTTTATTACTGATCCTGTCTCTTCATATTTTACCATTCACACTGAAGTACCCCATTCCCACCACATTCAACTTTTTAAAAGTTTCTTCTAGCATAATTTATAGAAGCACAGTGTTATACGTAGCCATTTTTTACTACATTTAACATTCATTCCTCATTACAGATCACATACTACCCATAAATGTTTGATCAAGATTTGCACATCTTAAAATTTCTCCATCCTTTTCCATCTTTTAACTTTTTATTCTGAAGCACTGCATACCTAAACACTGCACAGTACCTGAGCATCTATGTGTAATCTTTTTCAGGTGATTCTTCCTTGGTGGGTGTCATCTTAAATTCAGGATTGTTTTTTGTTTTTTGACTTATTGAAGAAAGCTATACTATACTATAGTATACTGTACTACAGGTAGTCCTCACTTAATGACCACAATTGGGATCAGAATTTAGGTCACTAAACGATGCAGTCGTTAAGTGAATCACCACAGTCGTTAAGCAAATCAACTGGTCATTAAGTGAAACATGCAGTTCCCCATTGATTTTGCTTGCCAGAAGCCAGCTGGGAAGGTTGCAAATAGCAATCACATGACCTTGGAACATTGCAACTGTCGTGTGAGCTGGTTGCCAAGTGCCCGGAACGTGATGATGGGGCTGTGGGGGCACTGTGACAATCGTAACTTTGGGCACCGGTTGAAGGTCACTTTTAGCGCCATCGTAACTTTGAACGGTCACTAAACAAACAGTTGTTAAGCGAGGACTACCTGTATACTATATCTACTTTAAGGAGGTGGTGATTTAATTTTTATGGAGGCGAAAATAAATACGTTTCCAGGGTATTTCAGTCTGTCTTGTATTATATTTGTGGCTCCTGTAATCACTTGGAGAGTTAAGAAAAAAAACAAAGAAAATAGCTTCTCTATCTATAGGCTATGGAATATATGCAGAAATCTACTATAAGGTATTTAGGAGACAGCTTTCATTACATTAAATTGGAGAAATCACATGTTTTAGAGATAGCAAAACTTTACATTCTTAAATATGCATACATTTTAACACATGTTGTTTGTGTATTGTTTGTGATCTTGGCAAAGTCTATGTATGCTTACCTATCATTAACTTTGTTTCTGTCTGAGAAAAAACAATGAAGAGAACTGTTGGCTTATTTGTATCGACAGTCCTTGTTTCCTACAGACAAGGGGAGGGCTGGCTAAAATGAGCCCCGAAACTCATTGGAATAGTAAATTCAGCTTACTAAAGAAAAATGTTAAAGTTTTTATCAGGAAAAGATTTTTGTTCAACAGTATACGGTGGTACTTCAGGTCACGAACGCTTCTGTTCATGACCAATTCGGGTCACGAACAGCACCGTTCTCAAAATTTTGCTTCCGTTCACGAACGTCGGATCAGGATCCGCGGCCATTTTCCCTGCTGTGACACGTGGTCGTGGCTTCCTGTAGGGAGGGGGACTCTCCCTCCAAGCAATAACCGCCTCCCCACCTGCCTTCCTGTCCTCCACGCCAGAAGTCGCGTAGAGCAAGGTTAGCGTTCTGCCTGTTCGTTCTGTACGTTGTGTCATATTTTTGTGGTTTAAAAAAAAAAAATACATATGGTTCAGAATGGATTAACCATAATTACATTGAACCTTATGGGAAAATTTGATTCGGGTTGTGACCAATTTGGGTCGCGACCAGAGTCGCGGAACGAATTAAGTTCGTGAACCGAGGTACCACTGTATTTTTCCTCTTCTTCTTCTTCATCAACAGTGTGGCTGACGGTGTGGTCAGGGTCTGGGATCTGTCCACTTTAGGCTGATGTGGATATGCCCCCTCCCCCAGTCACTAAGTACAGCCTTCAATGGCCATTTTGGTATAGACAGCAGGAGAAACTGGATTCCTGGTTTCTACAGAGGCATCTGCTTACCTAATGTCTGACCAGTCCTTTCCAAAACACTGGCTAGGTACTATGTGGGTTTAGACCTTTTTTAAAAGAGTGCTAGACCTTTTAATGATGGCTTTAGCAGTCTTTTGAGAGTGCTGAAGAGCACTTTTAAACCGGCAGAAATTTTATTTAAACCAAGAAAGAGAACCAGGCTCTGACAGCTATTTGTTGCTGGTTCTGTCACCAATGAGTGGGTTTTATAGTATTTCTGCTGCTTCCGCTGATAGGGAATTTAGCATGGCTACACTTTCCATAGATCAGTCCCTCCCTTCTGCTTCACCCTGCATCCCACCTCCGTGCTTATTAGTCCAACTAATATGTTATAGGGAAGAGGGACAGGATAAATTGGGAGTGTCAACTGGGCAACTTTGGACTCAGGTTTAGCACATACAGCTTTATTTTCTATCCACTGTTAAAAGCACCTGTATACATTCACCCAACCCCACCATACCACACACAAAATAGAGTGAGTGAGGTTTGTTTTCCCATTAGAAAATGATGCTCGGTGGAGCGGAAACAACATAGAGATGTTCATCAATCACTTTCCTTAACTTGTCCCACATTAACACTGTAAGGACTGTATTGCTCATCAACACATTAGCATGAATATGAGGAGGAGCCTTTGAAACTATCACAGGCTACTGCCATTAATAGGGAAACACTACTTTCAAACTGGAATGATGGACAGTTTAAGCCTGTCTCACTCATGAGCTGGGGATGAGATGAAGATAACATACTAGGATACAGTGGAAGATTAATCAAGCTTAGGATAGTCAACAAATACAGTTTCCCAAAGAATCTTAAGTGCATAAGACTTATTACTCCTCAAATTTAGAGTTAACTTTAACCCATGTTTTAATTAGGTGAAGATCTGGAACTAATTGAAAAAATATGCAGTCAACTTTAAGAACAAATCTGGCAAGCTTTGTAACTTGAAGAAGAAGTTCTTGAGTTGATATTGTTCATGGAAACTGTTAAATACATATTGATCCATATATTCCTAGAGAAGAAATAATCCTGCCTTTGTTTTTGTTTTTTCCTATTTACAATTCTCACTTTGCCAAGCTTTTAGTATAATGATTGTTTGCAAGTTTTATTAGGTTCTATCCTAAATGAACTGGCTTTATTAATGCATATATTCTTGGGCAGAATAGCTCTAGATATTCCTAGGTAATGTACAGTCATAACAGCATTCCTTTTTAATCCCCTTGGATGATGGAATAATTAAAATATGGTTTAAAATATTTTGTGATACAAATGTCATTTAAAAAATGAAATTGCATTTCTCTGATATATTTTAAATCAGGCATTTGTATTTTCTCTGTAAAACAAGAATTATTTTGCTTTTGTCATTTTTATAAATGTCATTATAACATTTTTGCATAGCTTTGCGCTGCCCATCTGCCAACCCAGTCAGATGCGCCAAATCACTATCAAGCAGTATGCCGTGCGCTATTTGCTGAAACAATGGAGCTGTACACGTTCTTGGCCAGAATTAAAAGTGCTAGAGAGGTAAGCAATATAAAAATCGCTTAGTTATTTGGCTTATTCAACTCTTAAAGATGTTATATATTTCTGTTCTTTTGTATTACCACTCTAAAATAGTTGTTTCTGTAATATATAAGTCTACTTTCTCAGTCATGCCAATTCACTCAGGAGTTCACCTTATGAGACCATTGTAAATCATGTCTAATGTGCTGGAAATAACGAACAAATGATAATTAAAAGTGTTGAAATATTTAAACAGACTATTCGATTGGTTTTATAGTTAGAACAGACTCATTAAAACCAGTCAGGTGAATTACATTAATCATAATTATTTTCATTTCAGTGGTACTACATAAGTATAACTTAAATCTCAGTCAATATTGGTATTGGTGTGCTCTTTCAATACTACCATATTTAGTTAGATTTTAGTTTTTAAATGGATTTATTTTATATAAATTCACTTTGTGACTTGAAAGAAGATTAATGAATGTTGAATATGAAGTCTTTAAAAATGATCAATCATTTTATATTTATTAAACTTTATATACCATCAACTACCTAAGTTTCTTTGTATTTTTGTACTCCTTATAAACTTCTTATATGCCAACTATTACTTTAAATCTTCAAACATAAATCAAAGAGGATTACTAAGCAGATGTTTTCAAATGCACTGTTTATTACTGCTACTTTTATGCCACTTCAGTGTAAACTATTCTAAGCAGCTTACAAATTGTGTAACATAACATCATTATCACATTAATAACAGAACCAGTCAAAGTACACGAGGGTGTGGGATTTTTAGCATGTATTCTGTACCCATATGTCTTTGGTAGCCATATTCTACCCAGAATAAGCAGTCCTGAAGATACACCAGCCCCAAGTTATGTAGGATTTTGTAGATTATAACCAGCACCCACAAACAAGCTGGTAACCAATGCAGCTCCTGCTATATTGGTGCAATGTGACAATAATGGGTTTGCCATTATCTCTACCAGGTTTCCAGATAGATCCAAGGACAACTCCATAGTGAGGAAGTTACAGTAGTCCAAATATCATTTTAAACAGGGCTACTGCTGGCATTTTGAAATGCAACAATAGTGGAGAAATAGTGACACGTTACCACCTTACCACCATGATGTAGGCTTGAGCACATCCATGCCAAATTTGATTTGCTGCAGGAGTCTCTTCTGGTGCTTCATCTCCCAGAGCCCCTTGGTAAACCAAGTAGCCTTTTGGCATCAATGGACTAGTTTTTACTTCCCCATCATCAAATCATGTCTCAACTGCTCTAAGGTATACATCAGATTTAGGATATGGCCTCCTTTGTGCATCAGGCCCATGATGACTTGGATAAACCATTGTTGTCATGGTGACCATGAAATCCCCAAACTGCCTCCAAACCCACTCTAAGTAAGGAAAAGTGAAACTGTCCAGTACAAGTAGCCTGGGCATATCAGCTACAACCCACAGAGAGATCAAATAGCTAGTGCAGGTATACTGATCTGCAACTAGGAGAAGGGTACAACTCCTCCCTAATGTCTAATGACACATATAAAGCCTCACATCTGTTGCCAGAGACCATCTGCTGCAATAGTATTGGCTACCATCAGAATCTCCCAAAAGACTAGTACCACTCCTCCTCCCTTTTCTTGGAATAACACTGATGCAGTACCTGAAAACCAGGTGGACACATCTCACTTGGGGAAATCCCTTCCCCACCCAGCCAGGTTTTGGTTAACACATGCCAGGTCTACTCTCTCTATAGTTGAAGCATAGATGAGGATGGTCTTATTACAGATAAACCTGGCATTTAATAGCATCATCCTGAGCTTATAGTCTTCAGCAATCCAGACACCTGATTCTTAGAATGAGAGTGAAGGGCCAGAAAGAGGTATTGGCTATAAATTCCCAGTGCTCATCCAGTGCCTTCCACCATATCTCCTTCTGCTCTTCACAACTGTAATCATCCCTTTCTCATGCTACTTTCTAAATTTCCTGCCCCATCTCCCACCCAGAACCTCCCCTACCATCTGCGAGTACTAATATACCTATTACATGATCTCCACTAAACATCTTCTCTCTACTTCCCTCCACTCCTCAAAGCACTATATCTGTCTACCTGCAGCTTTCCACTTCTTACCTCCTCATTCCTTCACGAATCTTACCATAACTTTTATATCAGTGTGTTAACATATTTATCTTTATTTTATTGTGTCCAAATTCCAAACATTATTTGGAAGTGACAAATGCCAAAATAAACATGTGACAGTTATAACCCTTTTAAATGGGCTGTGGTTGCTTCAGGTGTTGCTGAATTATAATATGTAGTATCCTTCACCACTGACCATGCTAGGTAGATTTAATAACTATAGTTTAGCAACATCTGTAGGGCCATATGTTCACCAACTCTACTGTAAACAAGTAGTTTTTCTTTTAATTGATAGAATTTAAAGAAAATGCAGGAAATGGACAAAGAAGGAAATGAGGAATCCAATACTGATCTTGATGAATTAAAAACTGCTGATTGGGTAAGTCTACATTTTTTATAAAGTAATGGCTTAATCTGTATTACAGCCTTACAGCCAGAAACACAATATGTATCAAATATGTATATCAAATATATACAGAGATGCACATACCTAAAATCTATAAAAATCATGGCTAATATTATTTATGTTCTTGCTCTGTTATGCATGTGTTTATTTTGAAAACTTTCTGAACCTTTGGAATGTGACAGTATTTCTCATGCTGATAGTGGGTTTGTTTGTTTGTTTGTGCCTCTGAATCAGTTTTTTTTTATAACTTTTTATTGAGTTTCCGAAAAAAGTAAAATACAGAAAAATCAAAAAGAAAACAAACAACAAAAGAGAAAGTACAAAAAAAGAAAAGTAACTTCCAACTTTCTTTGGTACAGGCATAGGTATAAAATACATTCACCTCTTACGCCAATATCTAAAAATTCACATAATAAAAAACTATCCTTTGCTCTAATATTTAAAAAGATTACAAAATAAGTCTATATCAACAAGAAATATAAAAAGAATAATACAAGATATTTCTGTAGTTATAGAATAAATC